TTATTATGACAAATTGTGATTGTCACAACTGTAAAGGCAGAAGTTTTGTGACATAAAGGGGGCAGTGGTTAATCAAGGGAGAAGAGCACAAGTGGAATATGGGATTTGTAGCAGCAACACCAGAGACAGAGGCAGAGTTGATGGCATGGAGAGACAGAGCAGCTAATGACTCTAGACTCATGGCAAGACAAAGACTGTGTGCCCTTTGGTTGTTTAAATGATTATATATGAGTGTTTTGTGTACATCAAAAAAACACACCAAAAACTAGGGAATAGAGGCAAATACTGTTTAATGATGACACACAGAGGGGATTGTAATCATTGCAATGAACAAAATACGATAGGATGAGTGCAAAACTGATGTCCTCCCATGTAAACTACTACTCAATTCACAATAAAAACTTTAAAAGAAACAAGTGCTTCGGAGTATCGACCTTATAGGATGAAACACACCCAGTCCTGGACCATCCTGACAATTGTTATTATTGGAATACATTGTTTCAGCCACTGTGTCATTCCATCTCATTGGGGGGAGGAGGGTGTCTTTCTCTTTTTTGCCATTCTCAACCAGGCATGATGTCCTCCAGTGACTGGTCCTTCCTCACAATGTGTCCAAAGTCCATGAAAAGAAGTCTTCCCATCTTTGAACTTCTTCAGACAAATTAGATCCTTTCTCTGGCAGTCCGTGGTATGGTCAATATTCTTTGTCAACATCATAATTCAAAAGCATCAATTCTTCTTTTGTCTTTATTCATTGCCCAGCATTTGCATGCATATGATGCTATTGAAAATACCATGGCTTGGGTCAGATGCAGTTTAATCCTCAAAGTGACATCTTTGTTTTTTAGCACATAGGTAAAAGAAGAGAATTATTAATCTACTTGTCGGGTCTTCTCAGCCTGAAGGCAATTTATAGTCTTTCATTTCAAAGTATTTCCCTTTAATACAGAGCATCCATTTTGTGTTTTAATTCTCAGTTCCTGAGGTGCTCTCCTTTGGGGTATTTGCAACAGTTGCATAAACATTTTGCAATATTATACAATTCATATTGCTCTTGAATTTGTATATAAATCTGTAGGTCTACATGTGACGTGATTGTGACATTAATTATAACTACATTGACAACTAGATTGTGGATAGTTTTTATTTAAATAAATGTATCTAATATAACTTGAATTGTGACAAAACTAAACATAAATTTTGGCCTTATTGAAATAGTTCCCTTATAATTTTTCTATTAATTTTGTTAACACTTGAGTACCTCAAGAAAAAAATCTTTGAAAACAATATAATTTTAGTTTTTAAATTTTTCCAACATTTACATTTTTAGAGAAAAAATATATTCAAATGTTATACATCTAAAATCAACTTCACATCATTTTTAATCCTTTCAGTCAGTGCGATGAATACAAACTGAACCATAATAAATAGGAAATAGGAAAGGCGCTCTGAAAAAAAATTTTTTAAAGGGAAAAATCAAAAACCTTCAGAGAAAAAAACCCACTTGCAACTGACAAGGCTGAAAATGAGCAGGTTTTCATTCAGCCAAATCCATCTAAAATTCAGAACTAGGACATGTTATTAAGATTAATTATTCATGAAAATGAACAAGATAATTATTTTTATCAAATCCACACTTGAACTTCCAAGTCCAATAAAATACTTACAACTTCATGTATTAACTAAATGAAAGTTTAGCAATTAAAACTTTATGAATGGAAAAGAGAATTATTCATGTTGAATGCATAAATCAGTAGTTACATATACAACTCTAGACTGCGTGTTTTAAGATAAGATTATAGCCATGAAATCAACAAATTGGTCAAAAAGAACAAAACCTTTGTTACTGTCTTTCTTGGATAAAGGTACTAGAATGTGTTCCTAACCCTTTTGTTGTTAAGTGCTATGATTCTATTCCGCCTCATAGCAACCCATTAGCATGGGTGGGGAACGTCCAGCCCAAGGGCTGTGTGGTGGTGGTGGTGGTCATGTGCTGTGGAGTCGGTTCTGACTCAGCCCACCCTGTACAGGGTTTCTGTGGCTGTAAATCTTTACAGGAGCAGAAAGCCTCTTCTTTCTCCGGTGGAACAGCTGGGAGTTCTCAACTGCTGACCTTGAGGTTAGCAACAGTATTCATAACCACTTCATGTACCATAGTTCCTTAAGGGCTGTATTGGTTGGTTGGTTGGTTGGTTATGTGCTGTGGGGTCAGTTCCTACTCATAGCGACCCCAGGGTTTCCAAGGCTGTAAATCTTTACAGGAGCAGAAAGCCTCATCTTTCCCCCGCAGATCAGCTGGAAGTTTCGAAATGCTGACCTATAAAGCCCTGGAAATAATTTGGTCTGTCCCTTCCAAGGCAACCACAGTTCCAGCCATCACATTAGGGTGAGTTAATTAAATGTTTGATCAAATATAGCAGGCTAATTTTTAAGTTGATAATTTC